AGGAGAGGAGAGGAGAGGAGAGGAGAGGAGAGGAGAGGAGAGGAGAGGAGAGGAGAGAGCAACATGTGGGCTGGGCTATGCTGCCATTAGATGGATACAGAACTGAGGTTGAGAAACATTGATTTAAGAAGCGCCCCCCCCCGACTCTGACCTTGAGATCAAACCCTAGCTGAAGTTAGGGGCTTTCTGAGCCTCCTGTTGCCTTCCCTAACCTAGTCCTCTCTGAATGTACTGGAATGTACTGAATGTATTTAGAATCATAAAACTATAGTGTCAGAAGGGATCACAGGGGTCATCTAGTCACACCCTTTGCAAAGTCTGAGAAAACAAATCCCAGAGCTGTCAGCCAACATTTAAAAAATTTTTCTGGATAATAACTGTTTTTAAAACATTACTATTTCATAGCTTTATTTTACACTGCCCAGAGTCACTTTTTCATGAGATGGGCGGCCATATAAAATTGATGAATAAACCTGAGTCTCATGGAGGTAGATGTCAGGGGAAGAAGACTGACCTGTCACTAGTCTTTACCTGCTTCAAAGGCTCCTTGCAACTGTTGTCTTGTCTCCCTATTCAGGGGACAAGCTGGTTTCACAGTGATGATGACCTGCCAAGTCCATGACTCTGGCATGACCCTCTCCAAACTTTTGGGCAATATATTTAACCGTCGTGTTCTTCCCTGTCAAGGTAATCAACAGGATGCAGGAACCAGAAAGAGTAAGTCCTAAAAGGCATGAGGCAAGAAAAAGAAAATAGAATTACATCTAGTTTACACCAACACCATTTACATATCTCCCTGTAATAATGTTCTGTCCTTGGTCCTGCCACATCCATACACCACTTCACACATTCTGTGATCTTCTCACCTGTCTCTTTCTGAGAGAGCATCTGGGGAGAGTGTACCTTTTAAAACCGTGTTTTTCAACCCTGGCGGCTTTAAGATGGGTGGACTTCAATTCAGAATTCTGGGAATTGAAGTCCACCCATCTTAAAGTTCCAGGGTTGAAAAACACGGTTTTAAAATATAAATAGGTGGCTGCTCCATTATGCACCCCTGCCTTGTGGCCAAAATTGGTGTGTGGACAGGGTTTCCACTGCAGCTGCCTTCCAAGCTTAGATGGTGATAGTTCACACAAATCTGGGTCTGCCAGAACCTCTTCCTCTATCAAATCGCTGACCCTCGAACCAGGACAAGAAGGCTGAGAGACAGAAGGATAGCCACTCTCTTCTGCCCAACCTACCTCGCAGGGCTGTTGTGAGGGTCCAAAGGGGGCAGGATGCCCCAAATCCTCAGAAGGTGACATACACGTGGCATAAATGCAATTGCATACAGCCACACGTGGGCTTTAATCCATTCCAATGGAAGCCACCCTCATACATCCATTTATTCTGCCACGCATCGCAATTCCTTTCCTCCCTTCCTTCCTCCCTTCCTTCTCCCCCTTTCCTTTCCTTTCCTTTCCTTTCCTTTCCTTTCCTTTCCTTTCCTTT